GTGGCTTGAGTAGGCTTTGTTTTTTGTTCACCAACTGGACCAACTATAGGAACCAATGAAACATGGGCTAATGCAAAATTTTCATGTCCAACATAAAATTGAAATTGACGCATTGCTTCAACAAATGGAGCAGATTCAATGTCACCAACTGTACCACCAAGCTATATAATTACATTAATTGATTTTTAGAAATCAATAATTAGCTCACACATACTCTCTCTTTGTAGATATAAACACCTACCTCAATTATGCAAACATCAGGTTCTTGACCACTTGAATCAACTGGTATTTTAGAAACATTTTCAACCCATTCTTGAATTGCATCAGTTATATGTGGTACCACTTGAACAGTTTTTCCAAGATACCCTCCTTTTCTCTAATTAAATAAATAACCAATTAATTTAAAGAATCAACCAATCCTTTTCACCATCACATCATCATCATCAATTATTAATACTTACTTCTCTGTTGATGACTTTTTGATATATCTTCCCTGTAGTAATATTATTATCTCTTGTAAGGGTAACATCCAAAAATCTTTCATAATTACCAAGATCAAGATCAACTTCACCACCATCATTCAACACAAACACTTCACCTAAATTATTATTAATTTAACACATACACATGTATAGGCAGATAGGTACATTGATTGATTGATTGATTTATTCATTTTTTTCAAGTATAAATGTTGTGGCACAAGAAATGATAAAATAACACATGCATGTTTTAATGATTATTATTACAATAAAATTAAAAAAAGTCATTTTATTTTTTAAAAACTAACCATGTTCAATAGGACTCATAGTTCCAGCATCAATATTCATATATGGGTCAATTTTTATTGCAGTCACTCTTAAACCAAGAGTTTTTAATAAAAGTCCTAGTGAAGAGGCAAAGATACCTTTACCAATTCCAGAAATTACACCTCCTGATACTAAAATATATTTCATCTTTTGATTTTATTGTAGAGAATATTATGTGTGTGTGATTTATTATTCTAAAAATTTTTATTTTTTATTTTTTTTATTATTTGTTATTGTTTTTGAAAATCAAAAGAAATTTACGACACCTGAAAGGAAAAAGACAAAAAGACACGATCATGCGCGTAAAAATAAAGGTCAGGGGTATACATGGGATGGTAATTGTTTTGCCAAAAACGTAATACGTAATTAGGAAATTATTTACGAAGTTAATTACGGGTGACGAAAATTAATTACGCGTGACGAAATCAATTACGAACAACGAAATTAATTACGAGTGACGAAATTAAATGACACCTATTATTTATCCCGTTATACTAGTATAATGACAGAATTTGTCAACTTTTTAGAATTATAGAATTTATTCTGTTATAACGACATGTCAATATAATGGGAGAACCAATCAAAATCATTCTGATCATTCCTGAAAAACATAATAATACAGTCAAAATTTTTGAAATATTATGTGATCCACACATTGGATTTTAAAAAACCCACCACCATTCAATTCAGCTTTAAAAAGGGAGTCTATTAATCTAAAAAAAAATTTGTCTCAAATTTTCTTTTTCATAGATTTTTTAAATTTGAAAGTTATGCTCAGAAGTGCAACAATAATTTTCGTGTTACAATATTTTGAATCTCATGACCGAATATGGCAATGATTTTCTTTTAATGTTCGTTAAACTTTTTTGTTGTAAAGAACTTTTATTAATAAAAAAAAGGAAATAAATAAATCAAATAAATCAAATTTATGTTGTAGAAAATATTCCATAAAAAAAAAGTTGTTACACGAAATTAGTTTCAATTTCTTAAGTGTATAACAAAATTCGGAATTTTCAAAATGCTAAGGCTCAACCAATTTTCAGTTTAAGAAAAAACCAGCCGAGAAGTTTTGAAGCTTGAGTCATGAACAATAAAACTTATTGGTTAAATTTTTTAAAATGATATAATTTTTTTTTTGTTTTAGTATTTTGAAGTTGACCAATTGCTACTATAAGCAATTAATGATTATAGATGATTTGCACCATAACATATCATAATAATTCCTAACTCTTATCTATAAAAAATTATGAATAATTTAGCAAAGAAACCAATCATGGTACCATTGATAAAACCATTACCACCCAAGAACAGATCATGTACACTTGAAAAGTCACAGAAACTTATTTTAAATCTTGACATTGAAAAGATTATTTCCTTATTCTCAAAAGGCATACATTGGTTGAAGGGAGATAAAATTTTTAATAATGTTTTTTCCATCAATTGAATGCATTATTAATAAATGTACTTTTTTACCTGCACAAAATGAACAAAAAATTGTTTTAGCCAATCAGTAATCTTTAGCAAAGTACATTAAAACCTCATATTTACCATGAACAAGCACAGCAAATGACATTAATTAAAATGGAGGTGTTGTGTTGACTCTAAATAGAAAGTGGTATGGCTATAATTATATGCGTATATGCTGCCCAAACCCAAATGTACAAAATGAATTTGGGCCAGCCTGTCAAAGAATTCCCAAATCCCCATCTCCCAACCAATACAGTCTGGGATTTTACCATATCGGTATGTTTCTGCTGATCAATTCATGAATTCACAAGATATTATTTGTCATATCTAAGTCACATTTTTTTTAAAATTCATAATTGAAATAAATAGTCCAAAACTAGAGATTGGGCAAATGTGCATATAGTTGAACACTATACAATACTAAGCATAGTGGACATTCGTTTTATCACTTGTGACAAAATCGATCATCAATCTTTTTTATATTGTGAAACTTGCTATTTCAATTGAATTTAGAATAGAAAAGTCACGTGACTGCACACAAAACCCATTTTATGGAAAATCTTTTTTTTTATATCAATATATCGCCTTGACTTTTCTTTATATTTTGGTAAAACTTGATCAATTTGATCAATTTGATTTCAATAAGTT